CGCGAAATTCCAAAACAAACAAACAATAACTCAATTATTTCTTTCTACTGTCACACACTTGCTGCGTGTCGGCGCAACTTTTTTTGCAACGAAAGTTACGTTTAACATTTTACTCATTAAGGTAATATTAAAGTCGAAAACATTATTATCCGAAAGTAAAACTCGGAGAGGACAATTTCTTTCCAAACGTCAAGAGACATAAATGTTCGGGAAGTTCTGCTCTAGAAGAGATATAGGAAGAACCCCTAGTTTTATATAGAAAACGAGATCTCTGCCGAGTGTTATTATTTCTTTGATAATATTGCACTGGCTCCCTGGTAGGACATCGTCGAAAGAAATCATGTTAATAAGACGAAAACCGCCATAAAGTCAGCTCTCGTGACCGATCGATGAGAGCCCTGTTCCTGGCCCGAGTCGACAAGCTGTCGTGATGGGTTTGGTCAATAGCGAGCCTCCGTTTTCTAAATCTGGGGGTGAGGGAAAGAAGGGGTGTTTCGTGGCCATCACTTTCTCGGTGACTAATGGGGGAATGCAAAGAGCTACATCCCAAGTAGCGGAACATGGCTCAAGATGTCGTGTTAATTGTCTTCCGCAATCCCAGAGGTTTTATGGCTATTGGTATGATCTCTCCGAAGAAAGCAGGGCATTACGGAGCGCTGAGCAGCGTTCTTAGAATAGGCGAGCGAGAGAGTTGTGGGTCGGTTGCCGGCAAGCCGGCTGCATTAGGATGGTAATGGTGTTTGGAGAAGGTTTCTAAGTCGTCATTAGTTCTACAAATGTTCATTCATTACGAGGAGTTAGGGGATTTTCAGGACGGTGAAACCCGTTAAAACAGAAATAAGCATGCTTTGCTTACAATCGGAATTCAGGGTCGAGATATTACCAACAGACAGCTGCCAGGACTCATCAAATGACTAAAGATGTCGCGATCTTTTACCATATAGCTCCTATCTTCACGCGGTCACCATCTTGTTAATCGTGGTATATTTACACGAGAAAGTTCCATTATATAGTCATGTTCAAAATCGCTTTTAAAACACACGCACCATGTAATTTACCTAATGGGGACAAAGTTATTCAAAAATGCAAAAATAGCAACTTTTACAGTAGACAAGTTTTGATTTTAGTTATTACAATGTTTCAACCCAGAGTATCAGATCATCATCATCAGGTAAAAGTGACCCGATACTATGGGACGAAACGTTGTAGTAATAAAAATTAGAAGATGTCTACTGTAAAAGGTGTCGTTTTTGTATTTTTTAATTAGTCAGGTCAGAAGGTTCTTAACTAAACATTAAGTAGGTCTAAATCTGACCATTTTAACTGTATTTCGAGGACTAAATGTCAATGTAAATTTATAAAGTACTTGTTATGTATCCTGAAATCATGAAAAGAAAATGAAAAAAAAATTGATGAAATGTCATCCACAACAAACGAAAGTGAAACTAAACTTGTGGTACAGTAAAACAAGAACAGTAATCAGTAATCTTTTGATCAAAATCTGTTAAATTTTAACTCTATTGCACTATAAATAATAAGACCAGTAATATTTAGACTGAAATCTGCAATACTCAAGTTGTATCACGATATGACAAAAAATATTTACTGACATGTAATTTATTTTTTTTTATAATACTAATTGAAGCGGAAGCAAATCATATTACATAAAATTAAAAAAACTTTATAAAAGATTGCCAATTTTGACAAATGGCAGCCAAGTATGAAATATCCAGGTACCTTGGCTTTAAAACATATTTCTTCACTTCAAAAATGACTAATAACGTTCTTTAATTGCACTTTTCACTAATGAGAATAGCTATTTTAAAATCAAATAATTTCGGATTAATAAAACATACTATATTAGGCCAAAATTATTCAGGAAAGTTGGTTTCAAAATAAAACAAAATAATCAGTCTATTTATAAGAAAATTTTTAGAGAATCTGACTGAATAAAGTTGGATATATATATATATATAATCTTTGTTTGATTCAGAAATCCACATATAGGGCTACCTGCCCATAGCTACCCCAAATTTTGAGCTGATAGATTAGTAGAAAGGCAGTTAGTCAACAGCCCCCTCCGCCAACTCTTGGGCTACTCTTATCTAACCGATGGGTGATATGTAACCATCACTCTTATACAGCATCCATAGCCCCAAAATGTGGAGAGTAATTTTTGTGGCAACGGGACGAGAACCATGAACTCGCGGGTTTACAGTTCTCGTTCTACTGTGTGTGTGCAATAATGCTTCTATGACAATCAAGAGTACAACTACTAGGCCTAATTCGGTCGTATAGTGCATAGTAATGCTCCCATGACAATCAAGAGTACAACTACTAGGCCTAATTCGGTCGTATAGTGCATAGTAATGCTCCATGACAATCAGGAGTACAACTACTAGGCGTAGTTCGGTCGTATAGTGCGTAGTAATGCTTCTATTACAATCGGGAGTACAACTACTAGGCCTAATTCGGTCGTATAGTGCATAGTAATGCTCCCATGACAATCAGGAGTACAACTACTAGGCCTATTTTGGTCGTATAGTGCGTAGTAATATTTCTATGACAATCGGGAGTACAACTAATTTCTGTGACGTAGTAAACAAGATGTGACACCAGCTCTTTAATCCCCATGTAAATATCTGTGTAATAAAGAAAAGTTCTAAGCCTGGTTGATTTTTTTTTCATATTTTACTTCCCCCATACATGAAAATTTTTATTTTGAAATATGTTCAACTAATGGTAACGCAGTGTCCATAAAAAAAGAATAAACGATATGGAAATATCAACTGTAATTTTAAGACTGCATATACGTGTAAAACAATGACCCCTAGAGCTTACATTATCACAATAATAAAATCTAATCGAACTTGCTTCAATTAATAACGTATGAAAACCTACCAATAAAAGGCAGTTCCAAAAGCCTGAAGAAAAAAACATATCAAGATACTTGTGGATTTAACACTAAAAACGGCAAAAAATGAACCAAAAATGCAGAATATAAACTGAAATCGTATGTTTTTTACAGTTGCTTCCACTTTTGCGTGGACTCCAGACGTTTCTATTTGAAAGAAGAAAAATTCTCTTGTCGAAACGATTACTTTATCAAGCCTTTAACAACGTTTTCACTAACAACGACCCCTCTGGATTACTGCACTAGCTAACTAACTAACTACCAAAGTATTTTTCCACTTGTTTATTTTTACTTACTCTGCAAATAGAATCACAATTCAGCCGTATTAACTTTTTTTTTTACGAGAGCAAGTGAATTAATTTAACCTGAATTTAGATCTCTAATGCTGCAACTTGGAGAAGTAATATTATCTGATTTCAACTTCAATATTTCGATAGTTAGAAAAATAGCGCAACGAAGCTTTGGGTGTTTTTGAATAGCTTGCAAAACTACCCAAGTGCTACCTTCCCTAATTTTCAACTAATAGATTAGAGAAAAGGCAGCTAGTAGGCAGCATCCATTACCAGCTCTAATCATATAGTGGGATTTCACTGTTATTCCTATAACGCACCCACGCACTGAGTGAGGTTTTGAGGCAATGGAATGCGAACCATGAATCCTTGGCTTCACAGTTAAGACACGTTAACCACTATGTCATGCCCGGCCCCTTATTTAGCGCAGAAAACCAAAATGACAGAGTAAACAAGTTTTTGTTATTCTTTCAGTATCTTTAGCAAAAAATAAGTGTATGAGTTTGCAGGAACATAACATTTTTAACGTTGTTTCTAGCATATTCATATTAAGAGAAAGTCTTCTGAGGGAAATAGGCAAGTATAACATTATTCACTTTTAATATGAAACGTCTTGAGAGCGTACTACTATTTACTTTTATGTCTCAAAAACATCTTGGTTTTCTCTGTATCATATGAAATCTGTGAAAATGATCTTTAGTTAGTTTACAGAAAACCTTAAGCAACAGCAAGCTTTTTTTTTCATCTTCCAGCAGTAACAATGACTTGATGGCCAGCTAGGCCTTCCTGTAAGAGAGAGAAACAACTCTTTGAAAGGAAGCAGATGATACTGCTACACAAATCAGCATATACATTCAAGTAAGTCCGCAGGGGAGGGGCCCTGCTGCTTGTGTCAGTCGGATTAAAGAGCGATGTCAAGTCGCGTCTCAGCCCCGAAGAAAAGAGTTCTCATTTGGAGAAAAAAAAAATTCAATTTTCGGTTGAGTTTTTGTACCTAATCCCGCGAGGAGCTGAGCGCGTGCAGAGTGACAGGGCTGGTTTCCTCTGATAGCACGTTCGGCCACAAACGGAAATAGCTTTCCCTCCTTTCTCAACTCTCACAGCAGTGAATACCTGATAGCAAGACTCGGGTAGATCTCGTGGGGCACGTGCACAACGTGATATATCGCACCATGAAATAGGCTGACGGTCTAAACTCTCTTATCGTGGCCTGTCATAGAGTAAATGAAACTGATTGGATGAAGTTGTCAAATAGAGAAGGTAATACCCGAGAATAAACAAGAAGATTTGTTTAAAAAAAGAACATGTTATGGAAAGTAGGAAAAGTATTGTTTGTTCAGTTTTATGCTTAACAACTTAATAAAATACGATAAAATGTCAACAGTATTGAAGTAATTCTATAAAAAATGTTGTGCATCCATTGAGGTGTAGGCAGAGTGAAACCCAGACTGTACGTGAAACCTAGAAAAGTCGGGAGTATTAGATCGTCAAGAAATTAATGTCGCTTTTTTTTAGATAACCTGATTGTAAGATGGAAAAGCATCATCGATAAGAATGGAGACTATTTCATTTAATAAATGTTTTGTTTTGATATATAAGTTGTTCGGGTTTTTTCGTTAATGCCCTGATTAAATAAATCACTTGGCTTTGAAGCAAAAAAACATGTTGATTTCCTCTTTAACACCTTCCACATTTGCATATGTTTTTCCATTAAGATGGTGTTGCAGCGAACGAAAAAGAAGGTAATCTGATGGTGCCATATCTGGAGAATATGGTGGGTGGGGGTGAACTTCC